TCCCTCCTGCCCCGTCTCCCCTCTCCCAGCCTCCCTCTCCTACCCCTGCCCTTTCCCCGCGCCTGCTCCCCTCCCCCACCCTCCCCTCCTCTGCCGCTGCTGAGCCGAGGTGACCCTCTGGATTCGGTATGCGCACCCCGAGTGGGCTGCTCTGGCGGGCTTCCTGGTGGCCGTCTACGCCGCCAGGACGTGCGAGCGGAAATGCAAAGGAGGAGGAGGAGGAGGAGGAGGAGGAGGAGGAGGAGGAGGAGGAGGAGGTAGAGGACGACGAGGAGGATGAGGAGGTGCTGGAGGAGGACCAGGCAGTTGAAGGAGACGTGGGACGACCAGGAGGAGGAGGAGGAGGAGGAGGAGGAGGAAAAGGAGGGAACGGAAGGAAGAGGATGAGGAGGATGAGGAGGATGAGGAGGAGGACCAGTGTAAACCCAAGACGCATCACTGATGTTGCAATAAACCATCCGTCCAAGTTCTCCCTCCCTTGTCATAGGTCCTGAAAATAAGTTATCGTCACTGCGGAAAGTTAGGGCCAACCGTTTGAGAATCTTCAGTCGTGCCAAAACACTGTTCTTGGGACCCTAACGCCGCAGATCAACGTGGATGTTGCGTCCTGACAATCTTAGTTCGTGCCAGAAAACAGCTCCTCGGACGTCAACAGCGAATCAACGTGACTGCTGCGTCCTGACCATCCTAAATCGTGCCAGGACACCGTTCTTGGAACTTCAACCATACGAACCCTGCAACCTGCTCAGACGTTTGAAGCGAATGTGCGCGATGCTCAGGCGAGAGCCACAGTTCGAAAAGAAGCCACCCTCCATCCTTCAACTTTTAAGACGAGTGTGCGCGGCGCGAAAGCGAAAACCACATTTTGAGAACGGGCCGCCCTCCATCCTTGAAGTGTCTCCGAATGGTTAGGACGAGTGTGCGCGGCGCGGAAGCGAGAGCTACATTTCGAAAACGGCCCGCCCTCCATCTGGGATGCTGTCTCAAATTTCAAGCGTCAGGACCTTCAACGGTGATATTTCAGGCGAAACGCCAGGCCTGCCCTCCCGACACGGCCGGAAGTGCGACAGAGATACGTTATCTATGATGAGGAGAAGTGATGGAGAGAGATGGGGAGAGGATAAAGGGACAGGAGGGGAGAGGAGAAGGCGAGGGAGGGGGAGTTGGGGGAGGATGAGGAGGAGGAGAAGGAAGTGGAGGAGGAGGGACTGCTTGCCCCGTCAGGACGGTGCAGAGGCTGCGGCAGCGCACCGTGATCAAGGCGCATTAGGAGCGTGCTCCCTTGGCCGTCGAACTCGAGCGCCTGAGCCATCATATCGCCAGGATTACTTGGCCGTGCAGCCAGGTCGCCGAAACATTGTGCAGCTCGGGTTGCGGACGGTGCTCGCCGTTCCGGAGGTCCTCCCGCGGTTGCTCCTCCGGCGCTCCTCGGGTACCCCGTCGCCTTGGGGGGCCCCGCTGGGGCTTTGGCCGTCGTCTCGCGCCTCCAACCAGTTGTAGTGTTTCTGTTTTTCCTTCCCCCGTCTTGACCTCGCTGAGGCCATGTCTGCACGTTGTTGAGCAAATGTGTGATGTTTCGGTGCGGTAGGCGTGTCTGCTGATTGCATGGCATGCCTCCTCTTGTGGAAATGTTGTTCCTGAACGCGTCATGTCCTTTTGGCGAACTGCCTGCATGAATTGCTTCTGCGAGCAGACATCGGATGCGTGCACCCATTATGTTTGGGTACTCCTCTCACGTTGACACCTCTCCGGCGGGATCTCGCTTGCGCTCTCCTTGAACAGTGCGTTGTTCTCGCTAACGGTTTTTGTTTTCGTCAGTGTTGTGGCAGCGGGAAGCCCAGCAAACGAGAGTGATTCAGATTTGGAGCCGATGGGCGAGACCCGATGGGCAGGTACCAAAGGATGAGCACGGAGCACGGCAAACGAGGGCACACCGATACACGAAAGCTATGTGGCGCAAGTGGGGAGGGTCGGAGGAGGACGGGGGCAAGAGGAGGGAGGCGCAGGGGAGAGCGGGGGGAGGAGGGGGGGGCGCACGGTCGGAATAAGGAGTGGGGGGGGCCTCGGGGACGGCGGGGGGAGCACAGAGGAGAAGGCGCGAGGGCCGGGGGGCGTGGAGGGAGCACGGGGGCAAGGAGAGAGGGGCGCAGGGGAGGAGCGGCGAGGGGGCGCACGGTCGGAAATAAAGCATTGCGAGATCACACCGGTAGGTATGATGATGATTTCTGCGTTTCCGCGTTTCCCCTTCTATACGATTCCGACGCTTGCGCAGGGCCTCCAAGGGTTTCCCTGGACGCAAGAAGCGACCAACATGAGATGACATGGGTCAGCCTGTCAAGCCTAGCTAGAACCCAATAGGCCCCCAAGAGACCCCCAGGAGGCTCCCAAGAGGCACCCCAATAGAGCCCCAAATAAGCAAGCATCGTCGATTTCCTATAGGACAACTGATATTTTTGGCGTGTTCGCCATTTGGGCTTCCATTACGGTCCAAGAGGCACCCAAGAGGCACCCAAGACTGTCGAGGATGCCCCCAAGAGGGGGCCAAGACGGCCCACGAGACGCCTAAACCGCTCAACAACGCCCCAAGTCGGCGCCCAAGACGGGGACGAGGAACCGAACATGCGAGCCATTTGGCCAAGAGGCCCCTGGGAGATCCCAAGAGGCTCCAAGAATCGCCCAAGAAGCCCCAAGGGGTTCCCAAGAGACCAGCAAAAACATAAAAAGAGTCCCCGAACACGCCCGAAGGGGCACTCCAATAGAGCCCCAATAGGCAACAATCGTCGATTTCCTGCGGGGAAACTGATATTTTTGGCGTGTTCGCCTTTTTGGGCTTCACTGTGTCCAAGACGGCCCAAGACTGCCCCACAAGCTCCCAAGAGGGCTCCAAGACGACCCCAGGAGGGTCCCAAGACGGCCCGAGAGACCCCCAAGACAGCCCAAGAGAGCCCCAGGACGAGCCCCAGGGGCCCCAGAGGTGCACAACCATATTCAAATTCCGAGCTTTCGTCCCAGAGGCTCCCAGGAGGCCCCAAGATGTCCCCATGAGGCCCCAAGAGGCGCCCCCCAGAGGCCCCAGGAGGCCCCCAAGAGACCCCCAGGAGGCCCCCAAGAGGCCCCAAGAGCCCCCCAGAGGCCCCTAAGAGACCCGAAAAAACAGCAGAAGAGGCCGCGAGGATGCCCCACGGGCCACCCCACTAGAGCCCCAAATAGGCAAACATCTTCGATTTCCTATGGCAAAACTGATATTTTTGGCGTGTTCGCCTTTCGGGCTTCCACTGCGTCCAAGACGGCCCAAGAGGCACCCAAGACGGTCGAGGATGCCCCCAAGAGGGCTCCAAGACGGCCCACGAGGGGGCCAAGACGGCCCACGAGACGCCTAAACCGCCCAACAACGCCCCAAGTCGGCGCCCAAGACGGGGACGAGGAACCAAAAATGCGAGCCATGTGGTCCAAGAGGCCCCCAGGAGACCCCAAGAGGCTCCAAGAAGCGCCCAAGGCCGTCTGGGAGCAGTGGATCCCCACCTCCATCTTCAAGAGCACCTTAGAGTGGAACATTTGCGTGGCCAAGAACTGGCGAGATGCGCGCGTGCCGCTGGGGCTGGCGGTCATGTCCATCCAACGAGTGGGGTTCGCGCCCGAATCCTTCCCCAGCTGGGTCATCGACGCAGGCGAGGAACTCAACTTGTTGGCCAGCTCGCCTTGAGCCGCCAAGCAGATCGTCACTCGCAGTGTAAAGCGATGGCATTTAGCGCAACTGGCAGAGCCCACGCATCACGACATCCGCGCGGCTGGAGGGGTTTTTCTGCCCCAGGTTCGCAAGGTGGCTCACGGCAGGCAGGGGCGCCGCCAAGACTGCGAATGAGCGGTGCTCGCTGCTCCCATCGTGGCCGGATACGCTAGGTCGTGCTTGTCGATGGCTCAATGGGATACGGTGCGCTGCAGGGCTCGGTTCGATCCACGCGTGCTCTCTCTGCCCTGACAAAGTCGGCGCGCTCTGGTACAGGCACCTGGCATGCCGGGGCGCGTGGCCGAGCCTTCTCTTACCGAGTGAGCTGGGGCGCTTCCTCGACAAGGGCGATTTCATAACCATCAGGGCGATGCTCGAGGGGCTGCGGTTGCCAGAGCCGCTCACGGATTGGAGGCTCCCTGCGAGAGACATGTTGTCCCGCGTGCAGTGGGCCAAAGGCTGCGACGAGGGCATGCTGTTTGCGGAGCCTGACTCGTGCTCCGACGGTGCGGCGGTGGCGCTTACTTCCGGAGGTAATGCGGTCGACCCTGGACCGCGCTCAAACGGCTGAGCCTTTGCCGCGCCCTTGGCGGGCGTACTGCAGTCGATCGATGGCGGAGCGCTGCTTGCGATGCTCATGCTGATCAAGAACACGCTCCCGCCAGTGGCCGCTCATTTTGACGCTGACTACGCGGTCAAGGGAAACTGCGAGCGCTGCCCAGTGGCCACCACCTGCAGCAAGTCAGCATGAGCGGAGCTTCGGGTGAGAGTCCGGCATGCTGTGCAGGGCTTTGGAGGGCTCGGCGACCAAGGGCTTCTGGTGGCCAAAGTCAAGGCGCACGCGGCTGTCCACCACGTGCAGGAGGACCCGTCGCATGCTTCATGGCCCCATGAAGATATCACCCCAAAGCGATACCCGCAACGACGGTATTCGCGACTGCATATGGTTGGTCTCCTCGCCTGGATCATTTCTCTATCGTGTTTTGAGTTTGCTTCAACCTTTATGTATTTATATTGTTATCTATCTCTCTCTCTATTTCTTTATTTCTTTCTTTCTTTCTCTCTCTCTCTCTCTCTCTCCCTCTCCACACACACACACTTCGAGACCTGGCACACATTGGAGTTGGTGCTGTGGCGGTCCATGCGTGCGCGGGGAGATTGCGCGGCAGCGGTCGAGATTTGCAGGTTTGGTTGCGTCAAGTCCCTGGGAAGATGAGGCTGTGTCCGTAGCTGTCGGCTGCTGGGGATGAATGGTGCACCGTTACGTGGAGTCCTAGGTCCTAGATCGCCCTTGGCTTCGTATACCGATCTCTTTTCCACGTCTCCTCTTACTTGCTTCGCCTCCCTCCGTAATTGTTCTGGCTCAAAGCGTGCTGCTTCTGCCCAGACACACACACATTTGCTGATGCCCTTGCTGCAAGCCCCCTCGGTGTTAGCTATTCGATGGCAGTGGACCGCCATTGGCCCCTCTTTTCAACATACCCCGCTGCCACGCTGTTGAACATGTTTCTTTACAGACGTGGATAGCATGCCCTCACGCGCCGTGTCTTCGAGAAGGTTTTCAGAGACTGCCAGGAGACATGCCACATTCAACGACACACAATCTCGCTGCTGGCGAATGAACTGCAACTCGTGTATGCATTGCCTGTTTACCGTCGTCTTGTTCGGGCTTGCCTTCTGTTTTGATGCTGGACTCTCCGCGGGGGAAAGGTTGCAGCCACACTACAGCATCATCGGCTACAGTTCCGGTTGCACGACGCTCGCGTATTATACCGTTCAAGTTCCATGACAGCATCATATGTACTTCATAGAGAAGAAGCACGCTGTCATTTCCCCATCGCTCATGGTACACCATGTCGTTGTTGTAATCGCTGTGCTCCTGTACTTTGTGACGTTTACCTGCGCATTCTACGGGGGCGTTGCGTTTCTTTGCATGAGGCTACGAACTTATTTTTCAACCCGTTCATGATGTTGACGCAGCTTGGGTACAAGACAACATCAGGCGCGCAGCTAGTTGGGACTGGGCTGGTGATTTCCTTTCTCCTCGTGTTACGTGTCGGCGTGTGCACGTGGCAAGCTGTGCAGTTCGCGATCGATATTGCATCGTGCGATTGGGAAGAGCCTGCAGGCCAGATGCCAGTGGTGGTATCATTCGCCATCTTCCTCGGCATGACCCTGCTCTCATGGCTCTGGCTCAGGGACATACTGAATGGCCTGGCGCTTGCCGTGAAGGCCCTGGGGCTCGGATCGCGCCAAGTTTCGCCATTGCCCCCCGCGAAGCTGGCCCCGCCGTCGCGGCCCGCGCCGCCGCAGCCGGGGCCGGCGCCAGCCGCGGCAGCTGGCCTGCGCGAGCCCCGGGGGGCGGCGGAGCCTCGTGGAGGGCTGCCGGATGCTGGAGGGGCGGCAGCTCCGGGGGAGTCCATGCTTTAGGTCAGAGGAGCCTGGCATCGCTCGGACGTGTGTACTTTTTCTCTGCGAGGGCCATCGAGGATCCTCGATGCATGGGCGATGTATCGCCGATGTATCGGCGATGCGGCGCGGTCCTCCGACCTCATCTGCTCCGACCCCATCTAGGAGGGTCCCAGCGGAGGGCACCGCTCCACAGCGAATGGCGGGCGCACTCACCGCACCGCGGCGGGTTCGTGTCGTGTCGACGCGGCGGCGACCCCAGCGCGGGCGTTCAAGGTTGAGCGGCTCCAGTGGCCCGGAATCGGCCGATGTCTGTCGATCTGCGCTTTCGGGGAGCCGCGATCGCTCAAGGTTTTGCATGATCCATGCGGCGTCGGAGGCCAACGCCGAAGTCGTCGCCACTGACCTGCTGCGGGCAGGGTGCGGAGTGTGCAGGCTGCTGCTGCTCTTGAGGGGTTGGTAAGCACCCTCACCTCACTCACCCACCCCTGCCCTTGTCTGTTCGCATACCGGTCACAGGCTCGATCAGCCTTGCACGAGCTTCTGAGACTGCATCGCCCCTTCAAAGTAGCAGGGGGAGTGAGAGGAGCAGGAGCAAGAGGAGGAGGGGGAGGAGGAGGAAACGGACGAGTACGTAATCGTGGTCGGGGCCAGGAATGTGCAGAAGGTGCTGCCCAGAACTGTCTGGGTCGCCCGCGGGGGTTCGAAGAGGACCCCGCCTCGCGCGTCGGTCTTGGCCAAGCGGGTGGCGCGAGAGCACGAGGGCGCGACAATTATCTCGCATCACGGGGCGCGAGGGCGCGAAAGTAGTTGGCCTGGGTTGCCCACAGAGGTGGCGGGGGCTGGGACGAAGAGGGGGGTGAGGAAGAGGGGAGCAGGAGCAGGAGGAGGAGGAGGAGGAGGAGGAGGAGGAGGAGGCGGAAGCGGAGGCGGATGAGGGGTAGGGGGAGGAAGAGGAGGCAAACGAGCTCCACGGCGTGTCTGCCCTGCCCCCGCCTGGCCGCCCCAGCCGCTGCCCGAAGCCCCGACGGGCGCGGGCCTGGCGGGCGGCCGCCGCGATGGCGGCGCAGCTCGCGCTGCAGTGGTATGCGCACGAGCCGCTGCCAGACAGGCTGCGGGGATGGGGGGTGGGGGTCTCGCTGTGGGAGGAGGAGGAGGAGGAGGAGGAGGAGGAGGAGGAGGAGGAGGAAGAGGAGGAGGAGGAGGAGGAGGAGGAGGAGGAGGAGGAATAATAATTTGTACTAATAAGAAGAAGAACCTTACTATCAATAATAATAAGAAGAAGACGAACAATAATACTAAGACGAATAATACTAACACTAAAAATGACATGGGTACTATTGAGAAGAAGACGAGTCATACTAACAGAAGGATAACAAGAGCATCAATAATAATAATAAGAGTAAGAAGAATAACACTAGTAATCAGATCAATAATAATAACAATAATTATAATCAGAAATTGGGGGGGGGGGTATGGGGCTTTAGGGCTTTAGGGCTATGGGGCTATAGGGCTATAGGGCGATGTGGCCATAGGGATATAGGGCTAGAAGCCTTTAGGGCTATGGGGCTATAGGGCTACAGGGCTATAGGGCTATAGGGCCAAGGGCTATAAGGCTATTCGGGCTATAGGGCTATATACGGCTGTAGGGCTTTAGGACCATAGGGCTATAGGGCTAGAGGGCTGTAGGGCTATAGGGCTATAGGGCTATAGGGCTATGGGGCTATGGGGCTATGGGGCTATGGGGCTATTGGGCTATTGGGCTATTGGGCTATAGGGCTATCGGAGGTGAGGGGGTGAGATCGAAGTGGAACGGCGAGCCCCCCACCGGGAAATCGGTTTCGGTTTCGTGTTCGTGCGTGCCGTGCGTTCGAGGCAAAGCTGCGTGGGCGGGCGAGAAAAAGTCTCCTGTGGCTGAGGCGCGGCCGGACCAAATATTTCTCTTCCGGGGCGCGGGGCCTCGCGGTGTCCCGCCGGTGTCCCGCGGTGTCCTCCTGTGGCTGAGGCGCGGCGGGACCAAATGTTTCTCATCCGGGGCGCGGAGCCCCGCGGTGTCCCGCCGGTGTCCCGCCGTGTCCCGCGGTGTCCCGCGGTGTCCCGCGGTGTCCCGCGGTGTCCCGCCGGTGTCCTGCGGTGTCCCGCGAGGATGATGATGAGATGATGACGATGATGATGATGATGATGATGATGATGATGATGATGACAATGATGATGATGATGATTATGATGATGATGATGATGAGATGATGATGATGATGGTGCTCCGATGAAGATGATGATGATGCTGATGATGGTGTCGATGATGATGATCGTGTCCCGATGATGAGGATGATGATGCTCATGATGATTATCTTGATGATGATGACGATGATGGTGTCCCGATGATGATGATGATGATGATGATGATGATTCCGATGATGTTGGTGATGATGATGTTGATGGAAATGGTGTCCCGGCGATAATGATGTTGATGATGATGATGTTGATGATGATTATGGTGTCCCGATGATGATGCTGATGATGATGATGGTGATGATGATGATGATGGTGATGTTGATGGTGTCCCGATGATGATAATAATGATCATGACGATATTGATGATGATGTTGCTCATGATGATGATGGTGCCCCAATGATGATGATGTTGTTGATGATGTTGATGATCATGATGATGATGGCGTCCCGAGGATGATGACGATGTTGATGATAATGTTGATGATGAGAACGATGGTGATCATGATGGTGTCCCGATTATGATGATGATTCTGATGATGCTGCTGATGATGATGACGATGACTGTGTCCCGATGATGGTGATGATGATGTTGATGATGAGATGATGATGGTGATGATGATGATGATGATGATGATGATGATGTTGATGTTGTCCCGATGATGATGCTGACGTTGATGATGTTTATGATGATGATGATGATGATGATGATGATGATGATGATGATGATGACGGTGCCCTCATGATGATGACGATGTTGGTGATGATGTTGATGTTGATGATGTTGATGATGATGATGATGATGATGATGATGATGATGATGACGTTGATTGTGAGAATGATGATGATGACGTTGATTGTGAGAGCGATTGTGATATCGATCGTGAGATCGATATTGAGACCGAATGTGAGATCGATTGTGTGCTCGATTGTGAGATCGATTGTGAGATCAATTGTGAGAACGATCGAATGAGATAGATCGAGTGAGATCGATTGTGAGATCGATCGAGTGAGATCGATCGAGCGAGACCGATAGTGAGATCGATACTGAGATCGATAGTGCGACCGATCGAGTGAGACGTTGGTTCCCCCCCCCCGAACCTCCTTATCACCCGAAGGGTGGTCGTATAGGTACGGCTATGGGGCTATAGGGTTATAGTGCTATAGGGATATATGGCGATTGGGCTATTGGGCTATCGGAGGTGAGGGGGTGAGATCGAAGTGGAACGGAGAGCCCCCCTACCGGGAAATCGATTTCGGTTTCGTGTTCGTGCGTGCCGTGCGGGCGAGGCGAAGCTGCGTGGGCGGGCGAGAGAAAGTCTCCTGTGGCTGAGGCGCGGCCGGACCAAATGTCTCCCTTCCGGGCGGCCGGGGGCCCGCGGTGTCCCGCCGGTGTCCCGGTGGTGTCCCGTGTGGCTGAGGCGCGGCCGGACCAAATGACTCCCTTCCGGGCGGCCGGGGGCCCGCGGTGTCCCGCCCGTGTCCCGTCGGTGCCCCGTCGGTGTCCCGATGATGATGATGATGTTGATGATGATGATGATGGTGTTGATGATGATGATGATGATGATGATGATGATGATGATGGTGTTGATGGTGTCCCGATGATGCTGTTGATGGTGATGCGGATCGATTGTGAGATCGATAGTGAGGTCGAATGCGAGATCGATAGTGCGATCGATAGTGATATCGGTTGTGAGATCGAACGTGAAACCGAATGTCAGATCGATTGTGAGATCGGTTGTGATATCGATAGTGAGATCGATAGTGGTATCGGTAGTGAGATCGATTCTGAGACAGAAAAGGAGATCGTTTGTGATATCGATGGTGATATCGATAGTGAGACAAATAGTGAGACCGAATGTGAGATCGATTGTGGGATCTATTGTGAGAAGATCGATTATGAGATCGATAGTCAGATCGATTGTGAAATCGATCGATTGAGATCGATAGTGAGATCGATAGTGAGTTCGATGATGAGATCGATGATGAGACCGAATGTGAGATCGATTGTGAGATCGGTTGTGATATCGATAGTGAGATCAACAGTGCGACCGAATGTGAGATCGATAATTATATCGAGAGTGCGTTCGATAGTGGTATCGATAGTGAACACGAATGCGAGATCGATTGTGAGATCGATTGTGATACCGATAGTGAGATCGATAGTGAGACCGAATGTGAGATCGATCATGAGATCAATAATGAGATTGATAGTGAGATCCATAGTCAGATCGAATGTGAGATCGATTGTGATATCGATTGTGGTATCGATTGTGAGATCAATAGCGAGACCGAATGTGAGATCGATTGTGAGATCGATAGTGACATCGATAGTCCGACCGATTGTAAGATCCATCGGTTGAGATCGATTGTGAGATCGGTAGTGAGTTCGACAGTGAGATCGATCGAGTGCGACGTTGGTCCCTCCCCCCCCTCACCTCCTTCTCACTTGAAGGGTGGTCGTATAGGTAGGGATATAGGGCTATTGGGCTAGGCACCCCTGGGCACTTCTGGGCACCCTGGGCACCCGGGCACCCCTGGGCACCCGGGCATCCCCGGGCACCCCCGGGCACCCGGGCACCCGGCCCCGGCCACCGAAATCGGCCACACACCTGGGCACCCAGGCACCCCCGGGAATCCCCGGGCACCCGGGCACCCGGCCCCGGCCACCGAAATCGGCCGCCCACCTCACCTCAGCTTTATATCCGCTAGGACCCCTACAGAGGCAAGCTCTGATTGGGGAATAATACGAAGACGACTACGAAGCATACTAATAATAATAACAAGAACAATAATATTAATACGACTGAGACGAATACGATTACTACTAATAATAAGAAGAAAACGAATACGAATAAGAAGAAGACTAATACGAAAACGAATGCGAATAATAGTAATACTAAGAAGAACAGTACTCATACGAATAATAGTAATCAGAATAAAAAGAATCAGATTAATAAGAATATGAAGACGGATATTCAGACGAATAATAGTATCAGTAATAAGAAGAATACTAATCAGCAGGATAATAAGAATAATGATAACTTGAATAATAATGAAACAATACTAATTCTGAGAAGAAGAATATCACATAGTAATAATACAACTAATAAGAATAATACTACCAGTACTTCTAATAATAATGATAATAATGATATTGGTAACAAGACTAATAATAATACAAAAAAGAATACGAAGACGAATGATCATACTAATAATATTGCAACTAAGAAGAATAAAAAGACGAATAATACTCATATTAATAAGAATACTAATATTAATAATAATGTTAATAAGCATAATCATAATGCTATTGCTAATACTAATAATAG